CTAACTTGGTCGGGACGGAGCCGGCGGTGTGGCCGGCCCATCCGGGTGGCTCGGCTCCGCGGTGGCCCCGAAGTTTGCCGCGGGGTGGAGGGCGCACGGGCGGCGGGGCGGCTCCGGGAGGCCGCTGCCGTGGCATCTGGGCGGCCCCGCGGAGTGTCTGGAGCATCCCAACGGCGGGCGGACCAGCGCCGGGAGCTCGGGGCCCCTTTCCCGGCCGCGGGCGGGCGCGCGCCTTACCTGGCCCGCGGTGGCGGCGGCGGGAGCACCGGAGGCGGCGGGAGCATCGGGAGCCACTCCGACGGCGGCGCGGGGACGGAGGGAGGTGCCGCGGAGGAGGAGCTCGGGAGCCGCGGGCGGGCCGCTTTGTCTCGGTGCAGAACCGCCGACCCTGCGTCACCATGGCAACCGCCGGGGCCCGAGCGCCGACCCCCGAGGCACCAGGGTCCCGGGCTCCGCGTGGCCGTGAGGCCAGGCCAGCGCCCCTGTTCCCAGCGCTGCGGCTGTTCCGAGGTCCTCCTGCACCCCGAGCCGCTACCGTGGACACTCCCTGGTCTGAGTCCCTCGCCAGACCGCCGGTCCCCTGCCAGCCAGAGCAGCGAGCCGGATCTTACTGCCGAGCCCGCAGGCGCGCTGGGCTTTCCACCCGGGACCCTCCAAAGCCCTACCCGAGGTCCCCCCGCCACACCTTTCCTCTGCCAGGCTGTGCCCGCGGGAGGGAGAGACTTGAGGGAGAAAGAGCAATGCAAAGTGATAAACTGTTGAGCAACTGGTACCCGAGTTCCTGTTGCCGCAGCTGCAGTAGGCAGGGAGGCTGCCAAGAGGCGCCTTCCCTCCTCCCTCCCTCTCCCCCTCCCCCTCCCCCTCCCCCCTTTTCCCCCACCACCATCACCACCCATCACCTCCACAGCCACCAGCCAGCATCTGCATGCACTTGTCTTGCTGGGGGCTCCCATAGGAAGGGGAAAGGGAGCTTTACCTCTAACTGAAAACACAATACTCTTGGAAACCCCACAAGCTAAAACCCAACTTTGAGGCTGCAGTGTGGACCCCCCCGCTGCTGCCACACCGCTTGGCAATTGATTATAACTGCTAGGCTCAGTCACCAAGCCACCAGCCAGCATCTGCATGCACTTGTCTTGCTGGGGGCTCCCATAGGAAGGGGAAAGGGAGCTTTACCTCTAACTGAAAACACAATACTCTTGGAAACCCCACAAGCTAAAACCCAACTTTGAGGCTGCAGTGTGGACCCCCCCGCTGCTGCCACACCGCTTGGCAATTGATTATAACTGCTAGGCTCAGTCACCAAGCTTAAGCACCAAAGGACTGTGCCAGGGACTGGCAGTGTCCTGCAGACACTTAGGAGAGAGGAGAGGCCCTCGGTGGCTCATTCTAGGCATCCTCTTCTAAGGAAATTTTTGGAGAGGAAGGGAAAAGTACTAACAGCCCCTGAGGTCATGTTTCCTTTAAAGGACAGAGTTAGAGGACAACTACCCTGGGTGAGTCATTATACTGTGTTTTCTTGAAAGATCAGTCATTGCATCCAAAATCTACAGTGTGTTCCTTTAGACCTCAGTGGGCATGGCGCTCATCTTCTGGCATTGTGAATCACCAAAGGAGCATCAATAATGTATAATAAAACCCTGAAGAGCTCATATGTTCTGGGCTTGTGAGCTACCTGAGAAATCACACACCAGAACAATGTTACCAAGTGAAGTCACACATATTAACTAATGAAAATGTCCAGTCCATTTTATGGAGTAAAATCAAAACACCTCATCCCTAAGAAAGGCTGCTCACTTTGCTCTGATGAGGAGATTGGCACTTACAGCAGAAGTCAAGGGAAAGAAGTCTTTCTGATAGATTAAAGCAGTTTGGCTATATGTACCAAGGCTCAGTATACATGCACATTTCTCCCAGCTATCTGACTTTTAGTAATGTTACACAGAAATACATAAATATGTAATGAGATAAACGCAAGAGTGTGCATCACAACAGCTTTCTAACAATAAAAACCTGAAACAAATTGTATGCCATCAGTTGTGATTTGTTTAGATATATTTGGCACAGTCATGCTATGTGGTACTATGCCTCCATTAGAATAATAAAACCTAGAGTACGTACCCAACCTCAAGGGCAGCACAATGGTTCTGTGGGCACCTCCACAGACATCCCCAAAATTTACGTTAGTGGATATTTGCTGCTTTTATTAAAAGCAACTGTTGTCTTTTCCTCTTTTCCATCAATATCAACAACCTAGGGCCAGTGAGATGACTTAGTAAGTAAAGGTGCCTACTGCCACCCTGCTGACCTGAGTTCAATCTCCTGGACCCTCACAGTAGGAGAGAACCAACTCCCACAAGTTGTCCTCTGACCTCTACGCAAGCACTGTGGCATGAAAACACACACACACACACCTATTGTTGGTAATTAAAGTTTTAAAATAACATTTTATTTAATTCAGTTGTGTGTGTGTGTGTGTGTGTATGTGCATGTGTATGTGCATGCATGCCTGCATGCGTGTGGGGGGGTGAGCCCATTCTGAACCAAAAAAACTTCTAGATATCTAGAATAGTTAGTGCTATGGTTTCAGTTAGAATCATTCCTGCTTCCACTGCCCGTAGAAGCTTGTTCTACAAATTAGCAGCACTGAGCAGTATAATGGAACCTTTAGGAGGTGAAGCCTACCAGGAAATGAGGAGGTCCTGACTGCCCCTTGCAATGGGATTAATGCTAGTCTCATGGAGTAGGGTAGATCTTGTAGGAGTGGATGAGTTTGTAAGTACAAGAGTGAGGCTGGCCTTTCCCTTCTGCTGCTTCTCTCACCATGTGATCTATCTTGTACTGTACTTGCTAGAATGGCATTGACACTATGTTCTTGGGCTTCCAACACCTTGGACCAAGATAAAATTTTTTCTTTGTAAAGTACTGAGCCTCGGGTATTTTGTTATGGCGATACAACTTGAGCTAAGAAAGACAAGTATAGAAAGAGATGTAGAAAGGGAGGGAGGAGAGGGGAGGACACTAATGAGAATGAGAGCAAGGAAAGCTTACGGGACTGGGTAGCTGTTAACTCGAGTAGGAATGGAAGAGACCACTGTTACCATTTACAGTTCAACATTGTTAAAAATCAAAACCAAAGCCTTTTTCTACCTATTCATTGACCTGTATATTATTACCTTGATTAGGTTTGGGGAAATCTGCATTGGATCCCCACCAGGTAAATTCCTTAGGGGTCTGGCCCTGCCTTTATCTGTGAGGAGTTCTTCTAGATGAGGGTTTCGCTAACTTTCTCCACTGGTGACCCCCTTTTGGCCCAGGAAACATAGAAGATGCAGGGCATATAAGCCTATAAGATAGGTAAATGAATCAAACATATACTAATAAATAATAAAGAATTTTATATTATTTTAAAATATTTTATCTATTATTTTTATTTTATGTATATGAGTGTATTGCCTGCATGTGTGTGAGTGCACCCATGTTGTGCAATGCCCGAGGAGATCAGAAGAGGGTGTCAGATCCTCTGAAACTGGAGTTAGGGATGATTGTCAGCCACCATGTGAGTGCTGAGAATCGAACTCAGGTCCTCTACAAGAGCATCCAGTGCTCTTAACCTCTGAGCCATTTCTTCAACCCCCAAATTTTATTTTAAAATAATTCTCTAAGTATATAAATTTTCTCTTGAAGATGAAAGCAAATTCGCACACTATTGAGTTGGATATGTGCTGGTGCCAGCCAGCCAAGACAGACAGTACCTGAAAGGGGGAGTGAGGATTGAAAGAAAAAACAAGAGACAGAAAAGATACTTGGGAGGACTGTCAGTAGAGACTGCAGCCCTGGTTTAGTTCAGCGCTGTCTTTTTATACAGAAGAACTCAATTAGTTTCAACAGCTGTTTTTCCACCTGTATCTGAGGGTCAAGGAGCGGTCAAATACTTGTTTTGTGAGCTCCACCATATAAACACATTCCTCCTGATTTGGCAGATTAGGTACTGGTGTGCAAAACACAAACTCAGTAAACAAGCCCGCCACAGCTTATGTACATAATGGATTAATAGCTCCCAACAGATATGCTTATTTATTTTTACATAGCGAATTAAATCTTGGCTGAATACTTCAGGACAGAGAGCATCTTCAATGTTTTTCAGAGTTGGTAGATAAATTGATTTTACAACTGCCACTTTCAAAAAGGTCACTTCACGTAAATATGTAGTGCACAATAGCAAAAATATGTTTAAGGCCACTTCAAAATTTGTCGGGATTTCTGTCCTAACCCCAAGCCAAAATTCTTGGAATTATTTTTTCAATGAAATTCAAATCGGCAACACAGCAAGTTTTGAAATCCAACACACTAATACAATACAAAAATATACTAATTTTATACTTACATGCTGAGAGAGAACATTAGGAAAGTATTTGAAATCTTTGTTTTCAGTAATGAAATCATGTTTCTGTAAGAGCAGAAAACATTGCAGGCACAGTAAAAACACTGCTGCTCACAGCATGCGCCAGCCTCGTACCTAGTGGAGACAGTGTTGTTGGTCCTGGGTGGTGGCTCGACAGCATGTGCAGTACAGACTGTGTGTGCTTTTGTTCAGAACCAAGGCTGCAGTGGAGTCGTGGGCTGCAACATGGGCCCATGCTGCCAGAAATGCCCGGGATTAATTAACATTTCTTTTTTAATTAATTTTGAGTCATAAAGCTTTCCAAACATGTCCCCATATTCAGTTATGGGATCACAGCCCTCAGTTGAAGAAACGTTATTCTAGACATTCATTTTTGCCCAGGAGTCTTAGTGGTATCATAAGATCTGCTTCCATTTCATGTCTTAGACCAAATTAAAATGTTGTGAGGAATGGTCATTTTAAAATGTGCCTTCTTACCTGTCAGGTATATCAGAGGAACAGGTTAAAGGGTAGCTTTAGTCCAATTCATTAAACTTAAAATGAAGATATTGTAATAAAACTTTAAAATTATCATATGAGTTTGGAGAAATGGCTTAGTGGTTATGAGCGTTTGCTGCTCCAGAGGACCTGAGTTAGGTTCCCACCACACACATCTGGCAGCTCACGACTGCCTGTAATTCCAGCTCTGGAGAAACCAACACCTTCTTCTGGCTTCCATGGGCACCTACCTATACATATGACATACATTTACCTAGACACACACATATGCAAAAATTAAAATAATACAAATAAATATTTAAAATGTATTATGTGTTTATATGACTGGTCTTTCATATCCTCATAATTTAAAAAATTATATTTAATTATTTGGGGGATATAAGGTTTTTGCCTGCATGTATGCAAGTATACCTGTGTCATGCCATGCTTATGGAGTCCAGAAGAGAGCATCAAATACCCTAGAACTGTAGTTACAGGTGGTTGTTAGCCACCATGTGGGTTCTGAGAACCAAACTTGAGTCCCCTGCATGAGTATCCAGTACTCTTAACCACTGAACCACCTCTCCAGGCCCTTAAAAAAATGAGATTAAGTAATGAATTTAATTTTCTACAAAGATCATCTGGAACTACACAGTCCAATCCAGCCACAGTTGAATCAGCTAGTGGTAGCTAGCTAGTCT